AGCCTCAGCCCCACCCACCCCGTCCACCTCCTCCTCCTTCCTGACCAATGGCTCGTCTCCGCCCTCGTCTGACCTTCTCCAGAAATGGATTCTTGCTGCCGCTAAAGTGGGTGGAGCCACAACACACCTGCAGAACACAAGGCATATGAGCAGACTGCAACACCTGACCAAAGCCCGTGCGTGTGTGTGTGTGTGTGTGTGTGTGCGTGTGTAGGGCCGCCAAACGGAGGTGGTTAGGCTGACACGGCCTCTGTCTGGAGGTCTGGGCTTCAGCGTGGTTGGTCTGAGTCCGGCAGGAAGCAGCAGTCAGGGAGTCTTCGTCAAACAAATCCAGCTTGGAGGAGTTGCACACAGGTTCACCTCGTAATCGTTTGCTTCCTACGCTGTATGTGAGCATGTGACCAGGGAGACCCAGGAGCCTCCTGAACATCAACAGCACAGAAATCTGTTTTTGTAGCATTGTAATAAAACCATTGTACTCACCAGGTTCATATCAGAGATCTGGGAACACAGTGACATCATTGAAAAGCTATGAAATACTGTTATGAATAATAGTTATAAATTATTTTTAATAATAAAATTAAATATCAGCTTTTTACTTGACTTAAAATCAACAAATTGCTCAGCTACAGACAGTAGAAATATAAAGTGTAGATGAGTTATTCTGCATGGCCTGCATGTAAAATATGTGCAATGTTATTAGGTTTGAAATATAAATGAACCTGATAAACTACATAACTATTGCACAGTGTACGTCCTGCTTTTCATCTTTTCTTAATTGTATAGCAACCATATAAAACTGGCTGGTTATCTTTTAGCCTCTCAACATAGAAAGTAAAAAAGCTGCAACTAACTGCGTAGCTGGAAGCTCTTTCATTGTTGTTCTTCATCACCTCACTGGAAGCCCTGACTGATGTTGTGTTGTGTCTGCAGGGACGGGCGTCTCCAGGAGCGGGACCAGATCCTGGTGATAAACGACAGTCCCCTGGAGCCAGGCATCAGCCAGCAGCAGGCCCTAGCAGTCCTGCAGCAGCCCGGGGAAACAGTGGAGCTGGTGGTGGCCAGAGATCGAGCAGCCGGTGCATCATCACCGCCCATCAGCACAGTAAGAAATGTCCTGTGTTCATCCCAGAAGACTGCTCTGTCCTGTGAAGGGCAGCAGTGATATAAGCACAGATAAAGGTCAGCTCTCGTAAAAACTACGGAGCACTCGGCTTTGCAGATAATTTATCTTTTTTTTTTATCTCAGCCACTGAGACTCGCATTGTTGGCCTTAACACAGCCAGGATAAGTGACAATTCTTATGCGTTAAAAATAAAAACTGGTGGTCAGGTCCTTAAATTTGGGTTTATTTCATTTCTAAAAAACTGTAAAGGCTTCAGCAACTCAGATGTTGTCTGAAAGATATACAGAGAAAACTGAGGTAAGTCTGGACACGCCCGAGATTTATCTGGTTGCTATTGTTTCTGTGCATTGGCGTCAGCTGAATTCATCAGGTCCTTCTAGCAGAAATGACAAATCTGTGAACGAAACACGTTTCACACTGTGGCTTCTTCTGCCTCACTCATACAAGAGACTCATCCACTTTTATTGTAAAGAACATAGCATGTTGAAAGTGCCAGAAAAGCTTTGGACTACAGCTGCAGCTAAGTCATTTTTATTGTAATTTAATCTTTATAAATGTATTTGTTGTTCAGTCTATCAAATGATAGTATTAGATAATATCCATACCAGAGTCAAGATGAAGTCCAGTACTACAAAATTGAAAGACATCCAGTTCACAAAGAATTAAAATGGAAAAAGGCAGAAAGTCTTAGTTTTTGATTTAAACTAACTAAAATTAATCACTTATCCATATTATTTTTTTTGATGATTGACCCGTTCTGCAGCTCTGCTTTCAGCAGCCAGGCTGTGCTGCCAGCCCTTATGCTAAGCTAAGCTAACCTAGGCATAAGCCTGATATCCATTTTTCTCAGAAAGAAAGTGAATACACAAAAATTAACCTGTACACTGAACTAATATTTAAAATTAAAAATCAGTGTAGCGGTATTGGAAGTTATCCAGTACCCTGTCATTTTGTGCAGTGACCCTATGTGGAATGTTGACCCCCCTAGGTTGAGAAACTCTATGTTAAGATCGTTAAATCTGCTAATAAATTATTCTTACTTTAAAGGGGAGTCACTGTAGATTGGAATAAGCTTGGATGTGATTTGTTTCTAAAGGTTTACTTTAAGTTTCTCCTCTGATCAGTGATCTGTATTTGTCGTTATGAGGATTTTAGCCCGCGCTGCTGTGCCAGCACCCGACTCTCACATCTGGAATAAAAGATGCAGTAAAACTCCAGATGGGTGGTGTTCTTCTGATACTAAAGTTTTAGTGTCAGTTGTTTGGAGACAAACTGGAGAACAAGTGTGGGCTGTGAAATAAGGTACTTTCTGTATCTGGAGCATCAAAAAAGGGGAAAAAAAACAACATTTAGTGTTTGGAAAATGATCCGGTCCAGGATGTTTCACTGTCAGTGTTAGTCAAATCAAAGTTCCCTGCTCTTAAAACTATCTTTATGTGGTGCATGCAGAACTAGCTGCCTGCTTCACTGTGGAACAAAGCTGGAATAAAGTGTGTGCAGTCTGAGTTGGCACATTTGTTTGTTGTAGAGTTTTATATCTCGGTGTGAAACAATTTTAAAGGCTGGTCCTAAACCAGCGGCAGCATAGATCAGCTTTCTCCTGCACTGTCTGTTCAGCCACACACACACACACACACACACACACACACTCGCACGTCATGCCGCGGCTCGGCTGTCACACAAAACAAGTAGAGAGGACGTCAGTCACAGCTGGAGGTCACTTTGAGACCACGCTTCTCCATCAGAGTGAGACCTCCTGTTTATGATGAGCTGTAGGTCCGCTGACATTGGCTCGGATGATTTTTATGACCTTAAAGCCTATAGGAAATCAAGTTAGTGCTTCACTTGCAACATCGCTCCTGACAATATGTATTTAAGTCTGCGATGAGGCGCGATCAATGAATGTCGACATGGCAGGGCAGTCAAAGAGTGGGGGGTGGGGCTGCAGGGGAGAGACAGAGACATTGTCATCAACATGAAACTGCCTGAGCTGAGGTGGAGGCTCAGAGACCACATGCATGAGCCAAATTAGATTTAAAACAAGTTAATATATGCCCGAGTTACTGGACTGAAAACATGAATGGATGTGAAAATGCTGGAGAGCTTTGACATTTAAAGAACTAGAAAAGATTTCGGTAAAAAAAAAAACTGTGTTGACGAAGCAGAGCAAGTGAAAGTGAGCGGAGCATCACAGGTTGGCCTCAGCCCTAATGAGTTTGCCCTGCTCCATTGTCAGGTCATTATCACATAGAATTAGACTGTCCCTCTGTTTGCTAGCTGCCGCCTCCTCCTGGCTCATTGGATCCCGGCCACGTCGTGCACACCAGGCCTCTGATCCTCCTGCTTTTGTTTTATTCATGTCCCATTTCTGTCGAGGTCACGTTTAATGGAGCTGCGGGCATAAAAAAACACTGTGGATGAGGTTTTATTGCTGTTCACCCAGCCTGGTTAACCGTCACTCTCCCAAAGCCAAGACTCCTCTTCTGGGTGAACATGAGCGACTCTGACCTGCCACCACAGCTGATGTGATGTTCTGATGTCAAACCTCTTGTTTCTGCTGGAATCGGTGCGTCGCTGGCAGAAAACTCATCCCTGTAAAGTGTCTCATAAAGGCAGGTGTAAATCAGCCTGAGATATGATTTTACAGCTTTTGTCTGTTTCGTGAAACTCATCTCACCCTCCATTAGGACAGCGTGTCGGCGAGTGCGCTCAGGAGTTTAGAGTTAATTTATAGCTCTCCTAAAATGATGAAACGCCGAAAGAACGGGGATTAAAAATAACAGATTGTGCAGTTAAGGAAACCTGGAGGGGCCTTTAAAAGAGTCTCAACTTGGAGGAAATGAACATGAACATAAGTTATTTAGATAACTTTTAGTAAACTTTTCAGTGAACTCCACTCAGCCTTTTAAATCAGATATGTCCCTGAGTCACATGTGAGACTCCAGCTCTGTAGACCTGGGCACTGGGGGACAGCTCTCTGCTTTGGAATAAGAAATATGGCACCCGTGTGAATTGTGTGGATCCAGAGAGTTTATTTTTAAAGTGGGATGTGAATGCTTTATCATCTGTCCTATCGCTTCACCTGGGCCAAACACACACACCTGAACTTTGTCCAATTCGAGTGAATGTCCAAGTCTTAGGTGAAGACTAGGGTGGCAGCACAGGAGGCCGAGTGGGCGATCAAACACACTGAGGTGAAACTTACTGGAACTTACTGTACTGTTTAGTGCAGCCCAGGTTTCCCTTGGCCACAGTGAGCATCTGTTGCAAAGCATTCAACATGTTCAGCGTGTGATCGGACTTTATTCTTCAACATCTGGGGATCCGCTGACATTTGTTTCATTAGCCAGAGGAAGACCTGCTCTATCAGATCAGACCTACAGTAAGAGACCAGAGCCCGCCCGAATGCAGCCACTTCATAAAGACGCCCTGTGTGTGTGTGTGTGTGAGCAGGTATCGATCAGCAGCTGGTATCAGAGAGAAGGAAATGCTCGGAGCTGGTAATTACCTGCTAACGTTCAGTTTAATGACCTTTCACCTGACAACAGATAACCAGGCAGCTGCTGTGTGAGGTGGCGGCTCTGCTCCCAGCAGGGCCACACAAAATAAAACCATTCATTCATTCACCGGTCTGTCATCAACTGCATTGATTTGCTCAGAGGACTAATTGGATCGAACAGTTCTGCCTCAGCGCTGATTGACGTCGAATGCTTTGGATCAGATAGATTTTGATTCCTGAAATGCAGCTTCATAACTTTCATCGGGGTGTTTTAAAAATAGAACAAAATTTTGAAGCAAATTGACACGCCTACAAATAGTTGTCACGTTCCTTCAAACAAGCAATAAATAAAATAAAGATAAACTTTGTAGTAAAGAACTTTGAGAACTGCTTTTTCATCTTTAATGAACTCTCGTAATACAAACAGCAGCAACTCAATTTTAAGCTGCACACAGCAGAACCTGTAAATGTGACTATCCAACAAATACTGACAAGAAGTAGAGAAACCAAAATACACAGGAGTAACAACCAGTCATTCATTTGTGTCCTGTGTTTGGTGCTGCAGGAGCTGTGGGGGCATGTGGAGGAGATCGAGCTGGTCAACGACGGATGTGGTTTGGGTTTTGGCATTGTGGGAGGAAAGACGAGCGGTGTGGTGGTCAGGACACTCCTCCCGAACAGCGTGGCCGACAGGGTAGGTCAGACACAATAAGAACAGAGTCCTTTTTTCATTGTTCCCCTTTTTGGTCCACAATAATGATGCCTGAGCTCGGTTCATTTAGAAAGGACCAAGTGTGAAAACACCCCGAGGCTGAGGATAAACTCACCAAAGCATCTCTTTAAAACAACACAAACTGAACATCACCACCTTCATGAAGGAGGATTTACTGCAGGACTGCTGCAGTAGACTGACTTGGTCTGAGCTAATAAAATGACAGCAGAGTGTGTAATGTTTAAACCTCTATCATTTTATAATTGTCATGAGTTTGGGACGGTGTTTGAACTAAAAAACTAGCTTTGTTTACAATATTGGCCTGGTTCTTTCACTGTGGTTAATATTGATATTTCTGTGTGAGAAATCTCAGGAGTTAAAGCGTGATCACGGTGCACATGAAACTAATGCAGCAGTTACAGTTGTAGTAAATCTTTGAGCAGATTTTTGAAGTGATCACAAGAGCAAACCCTGAAACATACAGGGGTGGCCAGACTAAGTAGTGCTATCATTTACATGCTCCCAGGTGCTTTCTGTCTCATTGCCTCTTCTCCTCCAATCAGGATGGGCGTCTTCGCACAGGTGACCACATCCTTCGCATCGGGACGACGCCCACCAGCGGCCTCACCAGTGACCAGGTTGTCAAGGTGCTGCAGGGGTGTGGGAGTCATGTGACCATGCTAATTGCTAGGGACCCCCGTGGACAGAGGTCAGCAGCCCCTCCTCCCCCACCACCTCCAGGCTCGGCCCCTGTCTCCTCCTTACCCTCCAGACCTCCTGACCCGCCCCTCCAGCGCCAGGTCAGCACGATGGTGAGTCTGCAGTCTGAATAACATTTTTTTGAAGTGGTGGAGTCAGACTGCTTGGTTTAGTTTAACTGTTTTCTCCTGGCTTTGTGCTTCACGTGCTGTCGGCCGTATTTGCATGTATGTGTTTCAGCCCAATCTGGAGGGATATGAGATCCACGAGGTTCCTCTAACCAGGAAGGACGGCCAGAGCCTTGGCATCTCAATCGTCGGCTGCAATCCCTTCACCAGCCAAGGTGGGAGAGGAACATTTTAATTTCCCTGAGCACAGCTGCTTCACAGCTATGGAGCTTCTACTTTGAAGCAGCTGTAGAGGTTTCACCATAAAATACTTTCAGAGCTTTTAAGGAAAGTAATGACAGGGATTTTAAGGAATTGATTTAGCTTATTCTGAATGTTAATTTTTGCTAATTTATGTTGAAGTTCAAGATAATTTGAAAAATATTTGCCAAACACAGTCTGTTCATTTTCACAACGTCCAGATTTATGACTCATAGCATATTCTTTGCACCTCGTGCACCTCGTGTCTCCCTGTTCAGATGCAGTGGGTGTGTTTGTGAAACACGTGGTTCCAGAAAGTGCCGCAGATCAGAGCGGAAACATCCGAGTCCACGACCGACTGATCGCTGTAAGAACCCGTTTATCTTGGTTCAACCCCTGCAGTCTCAGCCTGACCCAGCTTAGACTTGTGAAGCAGTAATAACCTGATTAAAACCGTTTTTCCTTCATGCATCATTTACTGTTACAAAGTCAGACTTCTCTTTTTTTTAAACCTCATCAGCACTTCACTGTATATTTAATACTTGATGTAACAGATTTAAGTTTAGAGAAAGTACAACTCAACTTGGCCTAAACCTACTGAGCCTCTCTCCTTTTTCTTCTGCTGTCACTGCTCATCTGACATCTTTGTCCTGTTGTCTCTTCTCTTTGTCCCTCCATCATTTACTGGCTCAGCTGGACAACATCAGTCTCCATGGGATGACCAATCAGGAGGTGCTGGAGGTGATGAAGCAGACGGGTCAGACTGTTGTTCTCACTCTGATCAGGAAGAAACCCAGAGCCCTGGAGAGATCCCTGGATAAAGGTAGACAGACTGACAGCCCTGGCTCGAAGCCCACAGAAATGAACAACCGGAAGGAGGCCCTCTGTGGCCCGATAGTCAAGTCAAATTTTATTTCTACAGCCCAGTATCACAGACCTGTCTCAAGGGTCTTTACAGCCTGTACAGCATATGACACCCTCTGTCCTTAGGCCCTCGAACCAGATCAGCAGCAACTCCCCAAAAAGTCTGGGAGAAAGTCAGGTGACCAGCAGGGTTGGATCAGCTTTGCGAGAACCATGTAGATCTTATCTGACTGACAAACCATGTACGATGTTGCTGCAGCTGTTTGCTCTGGCCTGTTGTCTTAGATTGTGTTTACCTTGTGCAAAAGCAGAAACTGAAAGGAAGAGGTTCTGTTTTCTGCCAGGGATGATGAGGCCTTAATTTGCCTCCTAGTGGATAAAGGACCTATACACAAAGTATGTGAGCAGTGACACTGGTGTTGCAGCTGTTGTCTGTGCATCGGTAAAAGGAAATGTGTCAGTGGCATTTAGTTTGACACTTTTTCTACGGTGATATTTTTTTGAGCTTTTAGCCTTTATTAACAGGGACTCGCCGAGAGGTGGACAGGAAACGAGGGAGACAGGGAGAGTGGGAGAAACCTGTGACGAATGTCGGCAGTCAGACTTGATCCATCGATGTCGTGCACGCATCGTGCTGCCAAGCATACATACGCTGTGCTAGGGGGCACGGTTTGACATCTAGCCTTAGTTTGTGTCCGTTCATATTGTTCATTTCATAAACACGAGTTATCATTTCCTAATTATCAAACTGTTCAATTCTTATTTATTAAAGAAGACGCATCAAACAAACTGAGATGCTGGTTTATATCAATGTCATCCATCACTAGCGTTAGCTGGAAGTGTGAATAGTTTACTAGGCTGTGAGCCCTGGTGCCAGCTCAGCTGCCTGTGTGCAGCAACGTGACCCTGGCCCTGGCACGTCATGGAGGCCCTTTGAGAGTCGCGTGTTGAACCCTGTGGTTGATCATCCAGCCTTGAGCCTTTGAGAAAATCCAGGCTCCTGGTTCTGCAAATACAGACCGACTGATGGTCTGTGCCCTTCTCAGAGCCGCTGTGTTATCAGGATGATAAATGACCAAATACAGCACATCTCTCAATGCCAGCATTCTGACTGGGGTTACTGACATTGTTTAGCGTGATACTGATGGACACAGTATTCCCACAATGCAACATGTGCAGCAGTGAAGAGGCAGCTACAGAGATCGTTGAAGAAAAGCGAGTTCATCTTTGTTATTACATTAATAAAATACTGAGAAATGTGATTCAGAGAGCAGGTCATTAAAAGGAGGCATGCATGGACTGTGTCCCCCTGTGGGAATAAGATAGTGATGGAATATATCTGAATATATAATAACACACAATATTAGAAAAACAGTTGGTTTTCAAGTCATTATCAAAGCGCTGCTGGCAGTGTGGTGGTGTTCTGCAGATGCACGTCTCACGCTAAAATGTGGCAGAGCAGCTGACTGTGGCTTTATGTTCCAGTAGCTTTGTGAATATATATATGTATTAAAACAACAGTCGGCTGCTGTGAGAGAAGTTAACTCTGCAAAACTTATCAGAGCTTTTCCTCCTACTTCCTGTCTGAGCCGTCGCAGCCTCTGTCCTCTCTCCCAGATTAAGATGACAAATTTGTTTACAAGTCAGTGTAATTTTCCCAAACTCCACAGAAAGTCTGCGATTCCTCCTCCAGCAGCGCCCAGAGAGATTAATTCTCCTGGTTCAGGGTCATTTTTTTGTCTTGCGATCGGCCGGCGGCCTGCACTGGTCATCCTCCGGGCCAGAGAGAAACAAGTGATTTTAAAAAGGAAGAGGAGTGCAGGGCTCTTATCTCCCCCAGACGTCTTTTATTTCATTACTGAGAAAACACAGCACTGGAAACCAGCTGAGTTCAGCCTGAAGTTTTTAACTTCTCATATTCTGGTCATTTCTGTGGCTCGCTTATCTACAGAGACTGATGATGAGCCTGACAGGAAAGTAACCTTCGGTTCTGTAGTTTGCCAACAGTAATGATCATCCTGAGGTCAAAGGTCAGAGCAGCCTCAGTGCGTTTACCTGCACTCCAATGGGGCATAGATGGATTTTAGAAATACTGAGCCTGAATTTTCACTTACCTATGAAGTTATTAACTGGCCACAAACCAAACTCTGTACAGTTCTTTTCAGAAAAAAACAAATCACACAATTCCACATTTCATTTATTCACCCAGCTGCTCAGTTGGGTTCTCTGTAAATGTCAGTCCTCCTACATTCGAACACACTTTGAGTCAAGATGGTCATAACATGAACTCTGGAAATGGAAGAAACTGGAAGAAATGCATTCTCGTGTGTGTGTGTGTGTGTGTGTGTGTGTGTGTGTGTGTGTGTGTGTGTGTGTGTCTGTCAGTGGAGAGGGTGTCGTCCCGTGTGTCTCTGAGGAGGTCACTGGAGATGAAGACTCGCTCATCTGGATTTGGCTCCACAGCGATGAAGACTGAAGCAGCACAGCCAACTAGGGGTGAGCAAACCCCCCCCCTACACACACACACACACACACAGAGCTCTGGCCATAAGCGTCTGGACAGTTTTTGTTCTGCTGTCAATACAGAATAAAATACTGGAAACTACGTTAAAGCGCCAACTTTAACTTGAGCAGGCTTACATCTGTACTGACTGAACACACATCACCCAAAGTGCAAGTGTTCAAAAGTATTTGCACGGACACTCAAGACATCAAACGGAATCATCATATTTCATGTTTTATGGGAATACCCTCTGCAGTCAACGACTGCCCAAAGTCTGGGACACACAGACATCATCTTCACTGGTGAAGCTCTCCCAGGACTGTCAGTCTGGGGATTGTCTCTGAAAGCAAGCGGCAGCCACAGAGCAAAATCCTCTCCAGTTGCACCCAGTCTGTCTGTGCACTGCTGATCACAGTATCTGAACTGTCTGAGGCGTCTCTGTAACCGTGTCAGCTTCATGCGGATCAGCCAATAACAATAATCAGACAATAATACAGTGATTTGTCTGTTCTTAGCTCAGAGTTTCTTCTGATGTAGATCCGCATCTGGCCATATTTTATGAAAGACTTACACATAAATGAAGATTTTTCCAGAGTTCGTTGACCTTCCACTGTGGAGTCACCAGATTATTCTGAAAATCTGATATTCTAGTGTTCTCTCCAGAAAGTGGTTTAAATGCAGTGTCAGTTAGCTGCTGCAGCTTTTCCCTCCTGCCTCTGTTTTTGCATGCTTCTTTAAGGTTACTCTGTATTTAACGAAAGAAATTTGGCCAAAGAAACAAAATATACTGACAATTAACTGCTTTTACCGATGATGGAGTTAAAACGCAAAGTTTGTTCTGAGGGAGGTGCTAAAGAAAAAGATTGCACAACCCAGAGAAACAAAACAACCTCAACTAGTTCAATCATCCTGCAACTCACACACAATAACAAGTGGCATTGACGACATATTGTGCAACTCCTAAGGCCACCAGTTGTGTTACCTTGTGGTGTTAAGTAGATTAACTGTCACAGTTATAAATGAATATTTATTGCCAGAGGTACAGCTCGTCTGCCAAGACTTTTAGAAGTTGGAATTTACTCAGTTGAAGCAATTTATTGTTCATTTCTACAGGCTGCTGTTTAACCACTGCATGGGTCTAATCACTCCACTAGAAAGCTAAAGCATTTCCCAACAGGACTGAACTGTAACATCAGGATGAGGATTCATGGTCCGAGCGTCCTCAGATCTAAAGTCATTGTTACCAGTCTGTAAGAAACCTGCCGAGTGCCGCTCCTGCAGACATGTCAACGTAGGCATCTAGCATCACTCGTCTCTGAAATATTTCCTCTCTTCTTATTCCTCGTTAGCTTTGCTAAGTGGCCAAAATGCCACGCTAACACTTAGCACGTCGCCTGCTGCTCCCGGCCAACAGATGTAAAGTGTGTGAGCTGTCCAACAGCCTCGCAGCGATGTATTACCCTGTTTATTCAGGCAAACGCTGCAGATTAATTGCACTGTGAAGGCCGGGGTTAGCAATGCTAATTTAATCAGGGCTGTTGTTGTAACACTGCCAGACCTGCTGCAAAATACCTCACATATGAGGAGATTTGTCAGAACATGTAGGTTTTTCTTTAGCTCAGCAGGGGCGGCCTCCTCCCTGAAACAAGTGGGAAGGCTTCAGAAAGCAGACTGACGACCATTCAGCAGGTTTCTCTGAAAGAGTCACTCTGTAATCAGCTCTGTCAGAGTTTCATGGTCTAACTGCTGGAAAACCCATTTATTGCTCTGTGATTAAAGAAGCTATTGTTGCTGAGGCTTTGTGTGTGCATGCAAACGCATTAAGCACACACACACTCACACACACTCACTTTCACATCATGCACGGTCTTTGAAGTTGCTTACTTCACAGTTTAGATCCGAGTCATTCTGCTTCTGACCAGCGAATTTCAATGAGGGGACGGTGATCCTGGAGCAGGGGCGTAGTGGTACTACAGCAGAACCAGGGAACAGGCTCTCCTCCAGTGTTGCTGCATTACTACCAGCTGTGTATCCCTCTAAATACTTTACTGCCCCTAGTAGTAGTCCTGTTGCTGTGTGGCTGGCTGCAGCACTGTTACTGATGTAGTTCTGCTTTACTGTACAAGGGTCAGCACGCATCTGCGGAACCAGTGCTGAACAGCAGACTGGTTCAGAAACACTACAGGTGCTGGCTTCTTTTAAGGTGGCATCTGTTGTACGGTGAAAGCCCACTGAAAGCAAACTCATCACTAGCGAGCAGCTGCTCGTTACACGACAATGGGAATGAGCGACTTTGTCTAGTGGTTTGTGATTTTGTGCCAAACAGCAACTCCTTTTTGTTTGCGTCAGTAACCTTTGAGGTCAGGCACAAGCATGAGAGGAATCCCAGCAGATACAGTGATGCTGCTCTCCTCCACATCAGAGGCTCCTTACAGGAACCAGACACTGGACTGAAGATGGTGCTGCTTCATGTCTGGAAATTTCTCGCTGAGTGTATAAGCCAGAAGAGTCTTTGGCTCCCTGCTTTGTTCCTGTGTTTGTGTTTGGCACATTGACTTTACTTTGAGATGAAACACACACAAACAAAACAGCTTTTTTTATCGCACCACCACGGTACATGTTATACAGGACATTATGTGGTCATGCTGACGTTGCATGCTTGTGAACACGATGAATCAAGATGACGCACTGCGGTAGAAGCGTGGAGTGGAGGATCTGATTAGGTTTTGTTGTGCCTCTCCACATCAACTTACAAATACATTTTTAGAAGCTTCTTTTACTGTTTTTAATAACAAATGTCTGGTTCTGTGAGTATGCACATTTTTATGCCTGTGTGTCGGCGATAACCAGAGGAAGTCTGTGTTCAATCTGGCTGGCCCATTTTTGTGGCCATTTTATTTCAGAAACACCCTGAGGGAATTTCTTCACATTTGGCACAAGTGTCCACTTGGACTCAAGGAAGACTTGGATTTTACTGGTCAAAGGTCACAGTGGCCTCACATCTGTCCTGTTCCCTTGAATTTGGCTGGCTGGTGGAGGCATACAGCTGTGAGGTGGTAGTTTATTTTGTGACAAACTGCACAACCTCAAGGTGGATTTTTCAAGAATTTGCATACATTTTTTTTTTTCAACTTTTTACTCTTACAGTTTTCATGTCAGTGGTTCCACATCGCCTGGAATCACAGAGTCCCACAAACAGTTGGCTCATTTCCCACAGCAGATAAACAGGAGTGCACTCTGCACCGCGTTACACGCTCAGTGGTTCTCCAGGGTTTGTCCCACATTCAGTACATTTATAACAGGAGTACTGTCTGCTTCCATCAGTTGAATGTTGACATAAAATGCTGTTACAAGGTTGGGCATTAAGGACCCTGATGGGGGCAGCTGTTCTTACATGTGACTCTTTGTTAATACAGTATGTTACTAACAACATGCCAGAAGTCGGCATTGGTCAGACACGCAGAGGACAGTGCTGTTTGTGGTAAGCTAACGGATACAGCTGGGTGACAACTGGAAGGACAGACTACCAGACAGTGACCAGCAGAGGCTTGTTAGTGCCGTGTCTCCAGAAGCACAGCAAAACGTGTGAAGACGCCACCTTAAGACTTTTCCCAGTGTCTGATCAGTCAGATCATCAGGACAACGATCAGTTATCCTGCTGTTTGTGTTTCCGCTCGGTCGGTCGGTCAGGAATCTCCTCTCATCTGTCACCTGTCTGTACATCATCATCTGACATTGTTTGTCGTGTCCTCTGGCCAAGTACTACTAGACATACCACCACTGTGCCATTGTAATTATGCTGCAGTACTACACTTACAGTACGAGTTGTGGTGAAGTACTAAAGGTTTCATTTGATGAGCTGCAGGAAGCTGCTGAGTTTTAATGGCTGAATTGTAATTTTGCATCTGTTCCACTGCTTACACAGGCTGTTCTCTATCTCTCTGTGTGTGTGTGTGTGTGTGTGTGTGTGTGTGTGTGTGTGTGTGTGCAAGTGCAGCCACAGAGGCAGAACTGAGGGCTAAATGGGAGCAGGCTCTGGGACCGCGGTACCAAGTCCTGGTGAGGCCATGCACACAGACAAGCAGGGTTCCTCATAATGTTACTGAGGAGGGAGCGATTTTGATATTTTTGTGTTGATTTTAGTCATTTTTTATATTGATTATATTTTATATTGTTGTTTGTGGTTTATAATTTATACTGTTTTATTGCAATGTACAGCACTTTGGTCCACTCTGGTTGTTTTTAGCGCTTTATAAATAAAGTTGGTATGGTATGGTATGGTATGATGTACAGTGCTGTGAAACAGTTTTAGGCACTAGTTTTTTTTTATTTTTCAGTGAACTCTATCCAAAGTGCAGTAAAGGGAACAACCCTAAACAAGCATTTCCTGTGACCTTTAAACCAGCCCTGGGTGTCCTTATTCTACCTGCACACAGTGTTTCCAGGTACCTGGCAGGTAGCATGTTCAAGTTCCAGTTGCCACAGTTCTTCTGTGGATTCGGGCTGTCTCAGTGTCTCTGCATGTGATCCCAGACTGACTCCATGATGCTGAGGTCAGGGCTCTGTGGGGTCACATCACCTGCTTCTGGTCCTTCTGGTCTCTTAGCCTGAACATAGGTCTTTATGACTCTGGTGGAAGACTGGGCTCAGTGTCAGGCTGCAGGATGAAATAGATGCTTCCTGGACAAGAATCTAATCATCTAAAGTGCCCATGACATTTGCACAGTACTGTATATAATACCACTTAGATTCAGAGCTGTAGACCTTTATATTATGTGTATGTGTGTGTGTGTGTGTGTGTGTGTGTGTGTGTGTGTGTTTTCAGGTGGTGAAGTTGGACCCTGTCATTGAAGATGATGCAGAACTGCAAAAGTCCTCCAAGGTGATAAAAATCTTTGTCCAGCTCATCAGTGAGAGTAGACTAAATACCAGGAGTGGCTCAGTGTAACACAGACTGAGCATCATCACCTTCACAGAGGAGGATTAGACTTAGTTTGAGAAAGGTGTTCCTAATAAACTGACTACTATCCTGCTTCTAATCCTGTGTCTTGTTCTGCATACAGCTGCTGCCCGTCCACACTCTGCGTCTCGGTGTCGAGCTGGACTCATTCGATGGTCACCACTACATCTCCTCTGTGGCCCCTGGAGGCCCCGTGGACAAACATGGCGTCCTGAGACCTGAAGACGAGCTCCTGGAGGTAAATACACACACACAGACACTGTAGGACTGAATGCAGCTCCACCTGATCGGTTCCCATTCTCCAGTGTGAGCTAGGAGGACTAATTCGCTGTGTGTGTAGGTGAATGACGTTCAGCTGTATGGAAAGTCTCGTCGTGAGGTGGTGTCTTTCCTCAAGGAGGTGCCTCCTCCGTTCACTCTGGTCTGCTGCCGACACCCAGCCTCTGACCTGGAACTGGAACCAGAATCTGAAACAGAATCTGATCCTGAACCAGTAATACGACCAAGACTGGGACCAGCAAGACAGTCGCAGCCCAGTGTGGAGGAGGTGAGAGCGACATTGAGACTGTTCTCCGGTATCTGTGACACAAGCATTGGTTGTTGGCTTTTCCTTACAGTTTGCTCTAAATTGTTCATGTGGACATTAACTGTTTATTGAATCAAAGCCTGTTGTGGTCACATTGGTGGTGTTTCCAGTGAAAGTCAATGAACTATAGCTAGTGAGTTCCGTTTCAGCCCAGCCACATGTGACCCATACACACCGTGTAACCCCACGCACTGTGTTGTTTCAGATCGAACTGAAGCTGTCGTCGATGCTCGGCAGTCAGACGGTCCTGAAGGACGACAGCAGTGAGCAGGAGGTAACCTGCCACCCACTCGCCTCGTGTACAAATACACAAATGTCACAGTGGGAGCGTTTAAGAACCAAAGGGGCTTCTCACTACACACACATTACACTTGTGAACATTCGGGGTTTGGTATGACAGCAATATACAGCTTTTTATTAATAAATGATTCACTTTTTATATATATATATTTTCCTAATTTTATGCTAGAAAATAGCATATTGAGTTTGTGTTTGAGGAGCAGGGATGCACTACTACTACACTAAACTAATACTTTCTGACTGTTTTGAGGTCTCGCACTAACTAAATTTAGGATATTTCCCTTTTAGTTTTTTATATTTATATTGGTTTCTAGAGCATGTGGCAGTTGGCTGTCATTTCTGTGTGTCAGGAGCAGCAGGAGGAGGAGGAGAAGATTCAACACAGTAAGGAGGAGGATGAGGAGCAGTACGAAGATGATGATGACGAAGGGGAGCTGGCTCTGTGGTCTCCAGACGTTCAAGTGTTGGAGCTGCAGAAGGAGAGAGACAGAGGCCTCGGCTTCAGCATCCTCGACTACCAGGTAACCACAGCGCTGTGCTCCACCTCATTCAGCGCCCACAGCGTCCCACCTGCCGTCTCTTTCCCCGTTTACATGTATAATGATGAGTTTTTTTAACCTTTCAGAGAACGTAATATACAGCACACTGCATCATGCATCATGCAGTGTGCTGTATATTACAGGGCACAGAGTGCTCAGGGATCAGCCTGTACAAACCGATTAACTCTGGTTGGTCCTGTGTTTCTTATATGATCCATCACGATGATTTAGAAAAGTGTTGACTGGATAAACGTTGACATGAAAGTAAAGCAGCAAAAAGTTGATGCAGCAGTCAGTCGATAGAGAATTAAACGATCAGTTATTCGTATAAGATTTCTTTTAACCTTTGCTGGTTCCAGCCTCTCAGATGTGTGTTTGGTGCTTCTGTGGTCGTACCTGAAGCATGTGCTGGTCTGTGAGCAGAGCGCTCACAGTGAACAGCATAAGCCACAGCAGCACACACAACACGTTCCTCCAGGATGATGGAGTTCAGGGGATGTTCTCTCCTCTGACTCCTGATCTGTGCATTTAAAACAATCAGCTTCATAGTTCAGATTAATTATACAGTCAACAAAAACTGAACCTTTGCGCAAGAAAGCAGCTAAGCTATGTGGACGGTTTTGTCGATGTAATGGTGAATGAAAATCAGTCGATAAAACAGTTAGCAGCAGCCGTAGAGGAGACCTGCGTCTGGATACTGATCGTTTCCTCAGTGAGGACCACAAAGGACTTGCTTGCCATTCTGTCGGTCTGTTTGTTGAAGACCCCCAAGACAGAAGGACGAATGTTAGGAGACTGTATTAACTAACGCTGACAGCCAGTAACTGGGGCACAGCAGGATTCAGAAACTCGCAGAGGAGTCACATTCTTCTCTGACACGTTGCTCCCAAAATGTGATCTTTTCCTTCCTCAGACACACACAGTGCTTTGCCAAATGTTTGCTCTATCTTTAAGCATCCCAGGAGAAGAGTTTCATCCACATGTAGTTAAGATGCAGTGGAAAGACATTTGTAAGATGGAGAAAAGTTCAGGCCCAAAGTTTGTTCCGGTCCTCCTGAAGAAAATGTAAAAATGGTCCAGAGGGCAAGTTCTCAGAAAAGTTGATCATGCAGCTTGGAAATGTTGAGAGGCGTGTGCCAGAGTGCTGTGTGAGGATGGTGGACAGGAAGGTCGAGGCATTGAACCCTTTCTGGGCTTGTTTAGTGCTGGATGAGGAGAGATGCAAGAAGGAGAAACAGACGTTCTTTTCTAAAGACATTTTAACCACCAGTTACATATAGTTGGTGCAGTGGTAGAGTTCAGACGTCAGATTGCTCTTCAGTCTTCATCTACATTCTGTAGGGGCGATAGGATGTTATAGTTGTAATTGTCAGTTTATATCATATATGCCTCAGTAATAGAGCCTGGGATATTGTACTGTATGAGTAAAAACTCTGGCACAAAGGCAAACCCTTTAGGGTTTGTTCTTGGGAACCAGAAGTGTGTTGAGATTGTCAGTGTTTCCTGGACCTGTCTTCACAGAAAGAAAAACCTTTATTTTATTTATTGTCATTGTAACATGTACAACGAAATTACATTTGGAGCCAAGGGCCCTGGGATGCTGCGTGCATACGTGCCACCATAATGGGCAACGGGGGGTCCAGTGTCTTGCCCAAGGACACTTTGACATGTGGACTGCAGGCACCGAGATTCAAACCCTCAACCTTCCGGTTGTGAGACGACTGCTCTACCCACTGCACCACTGTCGCCTCCCCAAAAACACACTCGCACAGGGTTCATCAGCTCCCTGTAGCTGGTTCCTGGTGAACGCAGGGTGGAGCTGGCATGGCTGCGCTCACCGCTCTGCGATCTGTTGTCTGCAGAAGGTACTGAGAGAGGTGTGAGCGTGACAGCGGACAGCAGGACAGGCCTGTGTGCATGTCCCACAGCTTGTGTGAAAATGTGACACAGCTTCAGGTTCTCTAGCTGGAAGGTCTGTTGGTCAGGATCGCACTGCCAGTTTTGCAAGATTTATGCTGTTAACTACAAACTGTTCCTGCGTATCACGAAGCCTGCTGCAGATACATGACATGCCACATTCAGTATTTAGTCGGCTTTTGGTCCAAGCTGTGTTCATCCTTGTGTGATGATGTTAAACAGGCAGATTTTTGAGATTTGTCACACAAGGTTTAAGACTCAGCTGGTCACTTTTGAACTATAGTGCATTTTCATATCAAAAATCAACAGAACGCGTGACTTGTCCAAGCATTTGTATACAACTGTACCGTAGGTTGACGAGCTTGACAGTGGGGCTGCTGCTCCTTCATGTTTCAAAGCCGCCAGCCACTGTGATTCTTTCCTTATGAGACAAACTGGGACACTGTGGACCTGTAACCCACCAGAACCAGCAGAGGCAAGAATGTACTGGACGCTCTAGGCCGTGCGCTGCCGGTGGAGCGCAGATGAAAGGTGGAACATGGGCAGGTGGTTGTTTTTAATTCATCACTTTCTCCCCACTTTCTTTTCTTTCACTGACTGAACCGGCGCTACAGCTCAGCTACAAGCTGATAACCCGAGACATCATTTATATGTCTGGGTTTGATTCGTAGGTTTTGTCTGAGAAGTCAGGGCCTGGGAAACCCTGGTCTGCTGTGGTTTTCTACCCCCATCCCACACCGCACTTTATCTCTAGGCACAGTTTCACCTCCTAGACCTCTGACCCCACCTCCTCAGCTGGATCTGACTGAGCTCCAGGTTATCTCCCTGTTGGTCCACATCCGTATCAGCCTGCACATGCAGTATCTGCCCAGGAGGCCCCCCTGTGTGTGTGTGTGTGTGTGTGTGTGTGTGTGTATGTGTGTGTGCTCGAAATCTTCATCTGTTTTTTTTTCTGAACATGTGAACAGTAGGAATTAACATTTAAAGTTCATTTGCATCTGATCTCTGATAACTGGACTCTAAGCGTGCGTGTACATGTGGCTAACGTGGCTGCTGGCCGCTTGGCCAGTGACTGGAGCCACTGACGTAAGCACGCAGCAATTAAGTCGTGGTATTGAAGAGAATATTTTAATGAACCACAGCATTTTAGAAATCCAAAACTTCACATAAAAACATATGCTGAGGTAAAATATTGACGACTGATGCCGTCAACTAATCAGAGCAGCCTTTAATGAGAGAGGTTGACCCCTTTAAGCATCTGTAGCAGCGCAGCAGCAGAGGACACAGCCGGTTTGTCGTCTGGCAACGTTTTATGTTGGGAGCAACAATCTAATTCCCTCAGTGAAACCATCCTGCAACAGTCTCCACAAAATAAAATGGATCAACTTCTCTCACAAATCTTCACCGGCTCTCTCTCTCTCTCTCTCTCCAACCCCTTTCCTCTATATCTCTCGCCCAAGGGCACGTCGGCCCGGTGTTCCTGCCAACGTGTTTCCTGTTACCGACTCTCCAGCTGTCAGGGTTGAGTGAAAGATGGTTGGAGGCGTTAAGAGGAGAGCTGATCTGTCTGTCTAGGCTCCGCTGATAGTTTCCACTAAAACCTGACGCCTTTAAAATGTGACCAGTTCCAGACCTGAGAAGTATGTCGTTTCTGGTGCTGCTGTTTTCTGAGGGGACGAACCTGTTGTCTGTAGAGAAGCAGTTACATCCTGGGGGGGGGTCAAGTAGAAACACTGTTGATGCAGTGCTAGAGCAGAATGCTGGAACGTTCTCGTGACCACAGGGCCCAGACCAGGAAAGTTGTCTAGTTAGCACTGTCTGTATGCTTTTGGCCATAAAGTGTATTTGCATTATTAAAAATGTTTTGTTCATGTTATCAGAGGTGCTGCGAGGTCTCAAGTCTGAAGTTTAGTCTCCGAGCCACGGGAATACCTTGTGTTTATTTCAGTAAAATCAGTTTCCATGTAACTGGCATCAAAAAGTTCAACTTTGTATAGACACCCTTCAACCTACACATCCAAAAAAATCCCCATTGTTCTGTCCATGAAAATTCAACCGTGGAAACATTTCACTACTTTTGGCAAAGTGCATTTTTAATTTCTTTGTTTTTGTTCATGCTTTCTGCTCCATTTTCCTGATGTCTCCACTTTTTGACAGCGGAGGCTTTTCTTTTTCTGGAGGATCTTGTAGGAGTGGAGGACTTCAGTTCTGACTCCTCACCACCTGTAGCCATGTTGTTCAGTCTAAAAATACAGTGCGTCTTTGTTCTGGCAGCTTGAAACTTGGCACAGCAGCTTGTACTGCAGCGCAGGCGATGCCCAGGGTTCGACACGGGGGAATTCACAAAATGTACATCCACTTTAACTGGGAGAGGGTTTTATAGTTGAAGGGTTTGGATTCTGGCAGGGCCCGGCAGTCCTCCTGGCTACTCCAGTTAAACAGATTATCAACAGGACAGAGTTCTCCCTCTGTTTCTTTGGCTGAGGTTAGGGATTAATTAGTTTCCTCAAACCTCTTGTAGTAATTTAAAACTTCAAACCATCTGTATATCACAAAGCTTGAAGCCGCTGATGTTCACTTTTCCATCCGAGGTTTGAAGCAAAGAGCGGCGTCATTTGGTTCACAGGTAAAATAAAGAGTTTCCACTAACACTTTGTGGCACCTTCAGTTAATTAACACCAGATAAATGCCCAGCTAGTGCACAGCAGATCAGTTCAACATGTCAACATCTGCAGCGCCTATGGAAATCACCAGCTGCTCGTAAACTCTTCATGACTATCTGAACTATCTCCACGGCTTGTTCCAAAATGTATAGTTTGAAGAAACGAGACAACGATGGACCCTTGTAACAAGTCGTTATGCAGTGTGTGCGAGAGCCTGCTGTCCTACCACAGAGGTTTTTTGTTCACTTCCTAAAACAGTAAAAACATTGTGCTGTCATTTGTTTTGTCTTTGAGGCTTTGCTGTCTTTGTCTGATCAAGAAGGTGTAGCTCATAACCTAAACCCCACATAGACTGGATTTGTGTCTGTGGGGAAGGTGGGTGATTTTAACGTAACCTGTGCTCATCACTGACTTTAATCCCGTCCAGACTGTGTGTGGGTAAAAAGCCGTCCGAAGAGCTGGTCTGTTGTAACATCAGCTGCAGGTCCTGCTGCTCTCTTTGGAGCCGTACTACCAGTAACAAAAGGAGCGGTCCACAAAAAATGACACCACACACTCTGTTTACACAACCGTGCACTGATAAACGGTCGGCAAGAGCTTCTGACTTGGCACAAGCATTATCTGTGGAAATGTCAGTGACTAATCAGACAGAGTGAAGGACTCTATGAAGGCAGCCTCTGTGGACGGTGTCCAACAGGAAATCTGTTGCTCAACAAACAGCACAAAACTACAGATGGACCAGTTTGTCAAAGACTGATAAGGAAAACATGATGTCTTTTGGCAGCACGTTCATTGTTCAGATGGGTCTGGACCAGGTGTGGAACACGGAGGTGGGAGTGCGCATGAGTGCAGAGATGACAGTTGTAGTATAGATGTCTCCGAACGCTGGATGAAAAGAGAGCTCCTAGTTTGCAGAAGCTTCTTTCCAGCATGACAGTGATCCCGGACTCACTGCAGAAGTCATGACTTGACTTGAATCTGGTAGAAAACCTTTGGAGTATTTTAATGCTGAGGGTAGAGCAACAATCCCCCCAGCGGCACAGACTGGGATTGTCCATGCTCAGAAGGACCCCGTCTGTCGTCAGACATGCAGAATATGAAACACCAGCAGCGACTTGAACATGTCCTTTCATTATTATTTCAGTTGTTACGTTCTGTACATGCAAGAGCACTTTGGCGTCCTTGTCCTTCCTTGGCTGTCGCGATGAACCCCAGAGCAGCACAGAGGGAGCCCAGCACACCAACATTCAGGTCGGGTTTCAGATTATCCACAGCCTGAAACTGCAGCATATTGTGACATTAGATGTTATTTTAACCGCTGAGAGCTGGCTGGAAAACAGGTGGCCAAAGTTGTCATGCTGCATTCATGCAGCTTGTAATCACTTTAAATATGGGCTGTTGACCGACGTTAATGCTTACATCAGCCTCCTGCTGCTGAGCCATGGCTGGATTTAACTGGTGCAGCATGAAACCCTCTCTTCATTTGTTCCGACCCTGAACCTTGTAACATTTCCAGTTAAACTGTAGGCAGGATGATGAAACAATGCTTGTGAACTGGCTGTTTTCAGCATCAGTATTTAACTTTGTCTTCTGAGTTAGGCTCAGCTTTTAGTTTTTCCATCGCTTGCTTTTGTGCTCTGACCTTTGACCTCATCACTGTTGTTTTCTGTGAAGTTGCATGATTAGAAGGTGGCACCTCTGCATGTGCACGTGTTGCTGTTGTTTGTGTAAATGGATGTTCTGTCCCTTCTCTGGTCTCTGTCTCCCCCTGCCTGTCTCCCTGCTGCTCTGCCCTTCTCTCCTCCTGCTCGGATCCACACTCGGTCTCAACAGTTCGTCTGCCCCGTGCTGAAGAAGTGATGGGGCACTTTAGCCTTCTGGAAGAAAACTCTTTATTGCATCTGTTTTAAGGTGTCTCACTCTGTGAAAGGTTTGAAGGCTCAGGCTCCGGTGCTGGCTAACATCTGGGCCTTCAGCACTTTAAGAGGGCTGGTGTCGTGAACAAGAACAAGGTTTCTCACTGAAGACCCAGACACAGTTTATAGAGTACAGCTGGTTTCCCACAAAATCTCATCTAGAGACGAACAGCAACATTGAATGAGGTGTACTCACCATAGTGTGTGTGTGTGTGTGTTCTACTGACACCTACAAATTAGTGTTGCCCTGTTTTCAAGGTCATGAAATCTAAAATAACACCGTGCTAACATTTGCTGCAGGCATCGCGTTTACTTCCTCTCACTTCGTACTGAGTCAAGACTTGTGCTTCTATCAGTAGCTCTCATTTCTTGAACATGACTGAACAAAGTGTAACGGTCTGTCGCTCTCTCCCTGAAGGACCCGCTGGATCCCGGTCGGTGTGTGATGGTGGTTCGTTCTGTGGTTCCTGGCGGGTTCGGGGAGGGGCATAAACCCTGGAGACCAGCTGATTTCAGTCAACCAGACCCAGCTGGACCTGCTCACACTGGCCCAGGCTGTGGAGGTTCTGAAGTCTGCCCCACCTGGCACGGTTCGCCTGGGCATCCGCAAGCCTCTGGTGGTATGTTTAGACCTCCTGGGTTTTGGTCTTGGTCTTCTAACTGAATGTCTGCACTTTTAGCTGTAGGTGGTGGACCTTCTAGTCTTTGGTTGTAGCTACAATCCTCTACTTTTCAGTCCAGACTTTCTAGCTGTATGATGAGACCACCTGGTCCAAACCTGTGCTTGTAGTTCAGGGACTTCTAGTAGTTTGGGGGAGGACCTGCAGACTCTTGGCCCTCCTTAGCTTATGGCCCCCATTTCCTCCTCTGCTGTGCATCAGTCCTCACTGTGGGCTGAGAGCCGACAACATGAATGAACCAGAGCAGCAGCAGTTTGTGTTTGTTAGGGAGAAAGTTGAGCTCACAGCTACATATATTGATTTTCTTCTGATCTGCATCTTGTTTGTGTAGGTGGAGGCCCCTGAGGGGAGGAGAGAGAGCCAGGTGTCTCTCAGCAACACACAACTTCCTGTACCAAAGGTAACACACACCTTTACACTAAGGCACGTTGAATACTGAGCCAGAATAATGCCTGTGTGCAATAATAACATGGGTGCAAGGGCTGCAAGTCCAAATCCTCCTGAAGTGCACACATCATTTTTCAGCTGGGAAATTCATTTTAGTCTCAGTTAGTGTCGCTTTTCACCGACATCACGGTCTTCATCAGAAAATGGAACTAGTTTTTCCTTAACCGAGTCGAGGGTCTGATGATCGAGGTGTCGAGTTGTCCAGAGACCAGCAGCACCAGTGAACGTGGTGTCCTCACCATGATGTGTGAGTCCAGACCCTGGTTCAGCTCATCAGCCTTATTGCTAGCCGTGTTGGACACATGAGGAATTTGACTCTGGTAACGCCTTGTTCTGTGCAGTGTGAGAAGCTAGCGGAATAGTGAAAACAGAGCAGAGAACAGCAACTCTGTCTCCCTTCAGATGGCCGTTATCAGCCTGTGGAGCTGTTTGTTGGAAACAGTCGGGCCTCACGTTTGATGGCGGTGCTTTGTGCAGTAGAAACTAATTGTGCTTGCGGTTGTTGGGCTTGTTGCTGAACTGTCTGTGAAATGATTAAGAGACTGAAAGCTCGATGTCTGAGGTGACGATAAATCAGTGTTACCATCACAATACACATACTTCTCCTCAGGAAGCCGTGTTGTCTGTTGTCATGTCTCTGAGGCTTTTTATCCTTTATCTTACTTGTCCTTTGTCTTTCACCTCGTTTCTTCCCGTTCCTCTGTCACGTCTCCTCCTCTCTTTCACCTTCCTTCACCCTCTCTCCCCCCCGTGTCTCTGAGAAGCTGCTGACTCAGCCGGATGGTGTAAAGTGCTCTATCAGCTTCGCCAGCAGCATCTCTCTCTTAAGTGAGTCGGGGGTTGGGGGGTACTCTGAGGACACTCTGGTGCAGTACTCACAGTAAATACTACTGCAGTAGTGATGAGTTGAGCTGCACAGACAGAACCTGTCGGCTGTTTGTCTTTTTTTTACTGTATATTTATAGTTTATTGGATGAAGCCTCTCGGACAGAGACGTGTTGCAGCAGGGTGACTCGGAGACGGGGGAAAATGAATTAAATATGAAAAAACCTTGACTCATTCCTGCAGCAACAAACATGGTTCTGTTTTTTTTCCTGAAATCACCATGTTAGTAAAAATGTTCTTAAAATCCACATTTGTGCCTTTAGAAAACAGATTCCTCTGTAGATTGTTAGTTTCATCAAACAGTAGATATCAGCTTCAGCCAGGTTTTATGGCATTTTGGTTTTATCAGTCTGTACGCCTTATGTGAAGTATCAGACTTGACTTGTTGTATGTGGCTGTTGTCGAGGCTAAGGAGCCATACCATGGCACATAACTTATAAACCATACCACACATAATCAAACTGAAATAATTTACACACACAACTCTTCATAAAACAAGAGGCGGTTCACAAGGCTTGGCCAGGAGGTGTAGTGTTAATCTTAAGCATTAAAGCTAGGACGTTTCACTGCCTGCTGTCAGTGTGAAGACAGATGTAGCGATGCTGTCCCTCCAGTGGAGGGACAGTGATGATACATAGCCCTCTCTGCTTCAGTTTAAGTCTTCACATTGCTTTCACATTGTTTCTGTGCAGTTTTGGTCACACTTCCTCTCTGGTCATCTCTCTTGTTCGCAGTTTTACCGTGGCTAACTCCATTTAGCTTCTGTTTCTCTGCTCTTTCCTCTAACTACCATTAGTTGGCTTGGATTTCTAGAGTGACACAATGTGACGGACATTTAAAATTAAGTTAGGCGGGCTTTCACTGAAAAGCTGTATAATCCAGCTATGGTTACACCTTAACTCTGGCACATTAACTTAGATCAATAAACACACTCACTAGTGTCCAGCTACTAAAAGTTGGTCCACACTTTGCAACCAGTCAGAATCCAGAGTTGTCAGTGGCCCTGGTGTAATATCTTTATTATTTAACCAGGAAAATTATGACTTTTTAAATCTCTGGTGCACAAGTTGTTAAGATCCATGTCTTAATAAGACTGTGTGCTCAAAGGTAATAAGCCTACAAGATAATAGCTTCTACCACCAAGATAACAATTTGTCTCATGCACACATGCTCTGCACAAGATACCGGCTTCAGGTCTTGGTCATAAACCTTATCATCATACGCAGGCAGCATTACAGTTCCTGGCCAACCTGTTATATCACTGTGTTACCCTGGAGCTCTTGTGCAGTGACAACTTTGCAACCAAGTCTTGCAAACAGATTTTTAAAAATCTATCAATAACCAAATCATTGACTTAAAAAAAAAAAACAACCTAAATCTTGTGTATGGAGGACAACAGCGTGTGTGCACAGGAGAGCAGCAGAATAAGGGTGTGGACATCAGGGGGTCTGCACTGACCAGACTTTGATCTACTATCATAAAGAGAGGGTCTCACCTGTGGTGTCTTCAGATGATATCAGTGCTGCAGTTTAACCGCTTCACCTGTGGTCTCTGTGGGTCTCTGCTGTCTGTCGGTCCTCCTGCTGTGCTGTGTGTGCTGCAGCCGTCCTCTCTGCTTCTTTTATTTCCTGTTTTATATGCAGCCCATTTGGCTGAAGAGGGTTTTTCACAGCCCACAGGTCTCTGATGGGTTTCCATAAAGACAGCCGAGTCGGCGCTGTCACCTCACCACCGGCTCGCTCTCTGTCACGCCTGCCCGCTGACCAGGGAGAGACCCCCGTTACACCTCCACACCTCGTTAACTTTTAGAGGTCACATGTAGAAGATGGCTGCAGGAGCGAGCTGCTGCTGTTGTTACAGGCTGTCATCACATTATTCTGCTCTCCAGATAAAGAGCTGCAGTGAACAAACAGGCAACCACCTCAGCACAATTACATGATGATCAACTTTACTGCCACTTCAGTCTCTACTGTGAGAAATGTCTGCTGCCGACACCAGTGTTGTCTTCATTTGTCCATTTTGGGCCATTATTGGATCAGAAATATTAACATGCAGTTGTGTGGACTTTAAAAGGTTTATTCACATTTCTGAAAAGGCTCTTTAAATTTGAGACTTAAGAACAGCATCAACACCTGTGGTCAGTTTATTAGGAACCCCGGTATCAAACTGAGTCAGTTTAATTTAACAGTCTGCAGTAAATCATCCTTCATGATGGCGATGATGTTCAGTTTGTGTTCAGGCTGGTTCATGCTGGAGTCACTGATGCTGAAATGTACTGTACTACTCTTAATTGTCCACCCCATTTGTATCAGTGAGACTAGGCTAAATAATAATATGCAGCACAGTTCAACAGCAGAACAAACACTGAAGCTTTGGCTCTTGGATTTTTAGTTGAACAAAACAAGTGAAGACACCACCTTGGACTTTTCACTGTTTTCAGCCACAGATCACGTTAACACCGGGTGGACACGGGGCCTAAACAGTGACCAGGCACAGCTGTACCTCATTTATCAGTTGTGACCACCTAAAATTTGGACATCAGGTTCCACATGTGCAGTAAAAACATGTAAATCAAAACACTGAGCATTATAATCTGTATCCTCATGTCAGCCAGATCTTGCAGTAAATGCAGCACTGCGCTTCTCTGCAGAAAGTCTGCATCTGGTAACTCCTTGTCTCAGCTGTCCTCATCGTCTAATGGCAGAGAGATTAAATGGCAACATCTTTAAGTCTTATGTCTATGAGGTAAAGCCGTCACAGCCAGTGCATATCAGTCTGCAGAGCATCCTGTTAGCGTTATGAGCTCTCTGCTGCCGTCTGCTCTTCGCCTCCGTTACATGGCCGTGATGGGCCAGATTCCCAGGCCCAAATTAAAAGAGGAGGAACAGAGTCCTTGACGATGAGGCTTCACCGGTGGAAATTAGCCTGAGTGTTGTCATTAATATTTCCCGACACAGACTAATGTCTGTAATGTTAAGAGCAGGATATTCCTCCAGTAGCTGCTGACCGAGACTCTTTGGGGAGGTGGAGAAACCTTTGTGTTCAAAGTACATCAAGTTGTGGATTTAATGTGACCTGCGGTTTGACTTCACTGAGGAGACGAGCTGAAGGCAAATCCTTCAGTTTTACTGATTCACTGATGAGACTCGTACCAAAAATATACTGTGTATGTAAAAAAGATTTGCTGGATCGATTAGTGATGGGAAGTTCTTAAATTTGTCTTAGTTGTCGAGTCTCTAACTAACCTTTCTCAAAAGCCCTATGCGTGGTGTGACATAATGGCCATGCTCAGCCTGGTGATCTTTATTATCTTTATCATTCATGTCAGACAAACAGTGGCAGTAGAATAAATGAGGGTGAAGGACTGATTGAGCTCCTCGGTCACTGTGTCACTGCTGTTGGATCTGTGCTCTGTTAATGTCGCTGGACTTTCTGTGTCTCAGGGTTTTGGCGACGGCTCCATCTTGCCAGACGACCTTCAACATGAGGAGGAGGAGGAACCCGAACTGATCCTAGATGGAGGACTCCCTCGCTACACCATCTCCTCCCTGTCCACTGAGATCCTGCCTGTAGAGGAGGGCAGGGAGATGGCTGTGGATGAGGAGGAGGAGGAGGAGTTGAAGGTGCAGGATGGAGCAGAGGACAGGATGGGATCCCTCCCCAAGAAACCTCCTCCATCATGGGAGGAGTGGAAGCGCTCCTCCTCCAGCTGGGCTGGACCAGAGGAGGTGAGTGTGTGGAGCTCAGTGTGGAGACTGACAGAGGAACAAGTTTCTCGCCTACTGTAGAGAGCCGTGAAAACTGAGTACTGCATATACGTACAACAGTTTTGAGGTACTTTACCTATGTATTTCTGTTTAGTATTAATTTGGACTTCACTGCATTTCAGAGGGAAGTACGGTACTTTTTACTGCACTAATGGTAACTTTACTTCACAGGTTCAGAATAATAAAATAAAATATAGTCAAGTAATCTATGATGCATTTTTATAGGTTAAGATAAAACATGATTGATCCTAAAGTGATGAACATGTGAGTCTGTTATTATTTATAACTTGAACTTCTGCAGGAAGTTTTAGGTTTCACTGACTGACAACAATCAAAAAAGGGCAAAGTAAAAGCAACTACAATTAACTGAATAATTCTACATACTTATACCCATTTTTAAATAATTGTACCTGTCTTTTATTTTTCAGTATTTATCATCAGAGTCTGGGTCTATACAAGCTTAAACGGGAAGAGGCAGGGACCTCTCGATTTAGTATATCTGTTCCCTGATGTGCAGATTTCAGTATCATCGATACCAGTCAGTTCTCTAATATTGCAGTTCAGTATGATTGATTTCCAGTTATTGATCATCTGCTGTTTTTTCTTCTCCCTTTCAGACATGGAGAAGGGAGAAGCAGGTGCGGCTCAGAGAGAGAGAGGAGGAGGAGCTGCAGAGGTCAGACCAGGAAAGCATCGTGTCTGTGGGGAACCCGACTCTGGGTGAGAAACAGAAGCTTCATCTTGATCATTGTCTCAGAATAAAACACTTTGTGTACAGAGGTCTTTGAGACAGAGGTGAGGTTGTTGTGAGAAGCTTGTGATTATGAGCAAGTTGTCAGTGCATGTGGTTTTAGGAAACAGATAACACACTAAATGTAACTATCCAAAGTCCATGAAACTGTGATGAACTGATGTGACTTGAACGTCACTGCCGTGTGTGTCCGTGTGTGTCCATGTAGGTCTTCCAGACTCCAGCGAAGCCGATTCTGAGCTCACTCTGACAGACACCGACACAGAGTCAGTATCTCCTCTTCCTTTGCCTCTTCTCTTTTTTTCTCCATGTCCTCCTGTGTTCCTGCATCATTTCACAGTCCTGTGTCGCCCTCTGCTGGTCACATTTGTGTTTGCACACAGTAGATTCTTTGATACATTGGTCGTAAATAAAATAAAAAAAGTTCACATGCATTTATTGCTTATTTTGCAAATTTCACACACAGGCAATTCACAGTGCTTTACATAGATGAAGAGAAGCATTAACAGCATTAGGAACAATAAGCATTAAAACCAGGATAGAGTCAATTAAATCAAAATAAAGACAAAGCATTGTTAAAATAAAAGAAAACACAACATGAAAATATGAACAAATCAAACATTAGACACCTTTAATGTAATACAGTGTCAGGTAAAAAATTGAATCGGTCCTTGATAATAAGCGAGTTTCTGCCGTTTTCTTCCCGTGGAGGTCCGTCAGGAGGATGAACAGAGAGAGGAGGAAGAGGCGGAGCCAGGGAGGAGCCTCTCTACCGATCAGAGGAGGGCACAGGTAGGACACCCGCTTCACCCAGAGCCTGTTCGAGCATATCGATACTTCATCAGTCTATGAGCGGCGTCTCCGCAGCCGCCATGGTGCAGGAGGCCCGTTATAAAATGTGCTTTTGTTTTTACTGTTACTGTACAATAATGTCTGACTGTAGTTTAAACTGTAAATACTGTATGAAAAATAGAAACATCTCACCATAAATGTAATTAAAAACAGAATTGTGAAGCCTGAGAAAAATGAACATCTATTAAATGTTTTTATGACCTCAGTGTGTATTTTTATTACAATGATGTCATTGCAGGTATTTTACATGTATGTTTTAGAAATATCACCGTCTACAAAACAGTGTTTTGTTCTGAAAACCCACATCTTTAATGCAACTACAATAAATACATTTGTGACCTTTTTTACAAACCAAACTGCTGGAAAATCAGCTGTAAATTCACTGAGTTATGATGATTGTAACAGTGGACAGACCTCCGGCTTTCATATACAGATGTGCATTAGGAGGCTCCCTGTACCAACATGGCGGCTGTGTTGACGTGTCGCTGCAGTGAACACCTACGTGGTTAAATCTTTGAGAACAGGCCCTGCAGCATCCTGCGGCTACCTTTGCTAACTGTGTGTGTCCGTTGTTCACAGTGACCTGCCTGAAAGAGAGGAGGGGGAGGGAGAGGAAACGCCTGCCTTCAGTCACTGGGGACCCCCCCGCAGGTAACACACAGAAACCAGAGTCCTGCTCACTGTTTTTACATGCCACCTCCCAAATCCACAGCAAATGTCTGAGCAGTTTTGTTGCTCATGAGACCCTTCGTTTTGCTTGGAGTTTTGGTGTGTAATTGTGCAAGACCTTGGGGGTGGGGCATACAGGGATAATAAGCGATCTTTCTGCCCTGCAGGGTGGAGGTGTGGGCTAAAGAGGGTCAGTCTCTGGGTCTGAGCATTGTGGGAGGTCATCACATCATCAAGCGTCTGAGGAACGGGGAGGAGCTGAAGGGAATCTTCATCAAGCAGGTTTTACCAAACAGCCCTGCTGCCAACACACAGTGTCTGAAGACTGGAGACAAGATCCTGGAGGTAGGGCTGGGTCTAACACCTGGCTCTCTAATAGAAATTCAGTCTGTGCATGTGTTTTGAGTTCTGCAGCTCTATATGGGTTGTTTACATGCACTGGCAGTGGCTCATCACTAGGGGTAGGCAATGTGGGACTCTTAAATGCTTGCTTAGTATCTTGTTATAACGAGAAAGGCAGCACCGCTGGACACTTGGCAGCAAAAGAACGTCTGCAGCTTGCCTTGTTTCTCACACATGCTCCTGAAATGATGGAAGCTAAAACATGTCCATTGCCTCTCGAGGACAGGTCTAACAGATGACCCCTTGACAGGGCCGGAGCTATTTGTCTGTGTACCTTAACATTGTTTGGTGTGTTTGTGTGCAGGTGTCAGGTGTTGACCTACAAGATGCCAGCCACGAGGAGGCAGTCGGTGCCATTAAATCAGCTCCGAGCCCCGTTGTCTTCATTGTCCAGAGCCTGTCTGCGACTCCACGGGTACCAGCACATACATGAACATCACTGGGTTTGGGTCTCCTTTGGTGTCACAGTGATCTAGTGGCAGGTGTGTGTACGTCCATGGGGACACTGCTACAGGAGCTGCTCGCTGCTCATTCTGCTGCTGTCAGAGGAGACACTGTGACTGTATAAACAAATAAGGCTAAAATCAGATAATGCAGCCGACATCACAACAGTTTTACTGGAGCTTTCTCTCCAGTTTTAATTTTCTCTGTCCTCACATTCGTTCCCAGACAGGACGAGCGTGAGGTTGTGGCATGTTTCCATCGGTCAGATGGAAACACTGCAGCTCCCTGTGGCTGCAGTTATTGCCATCACTGATTCTCCCCCGCCCCCCGTCCATTCTGAATGGAGCATAACACACACAGACACACTCAGATTGCACATTTGTCAGATGCATCGTGAATACAAACACAATGTAAATGTGTTACATTCTCATGTCTCGCCACCTGTGTGTGTGTGTGTGTGTGTGTGTGTGTGTGTGTGTGTTTCAGCCCGTGTCTGCCACAGCCCCCAGCTACAGCAAACACAAAGCTACAAGGACCGAGCCTCCGGTAAGAACAGGAGCTACTCTCAAGCCAGATGCAGGGAGGCACTGTTGTATGACTTTTCATTTTGACACCAACTCTATGACGCCTGTGTCACAGTACTTCCTTCTCTCTCCTGTGTGTTTTTATGCTGTACGTACACACTGTCTGCAGAGGGCAGCACAACCTCAGCACGCTGAACGTGCACTCTGAATTTTCACTCTGCACCTGGAGAAAATAGCTGTTGCTAAACTGTTAGTACTGCGGAATACTACAGACAGTATGTAAATGCAGTTTGTTGGTTTCTTCTGCAAAAAGCTGAATGAAAATTAAAAAATTAAATAGGCACTGGCAGCTGCTGCTCCAACCCTGTCCATCTTCTCAAACCATTGTGGGACAGATTTGATTTGTGCATGGACACAGGATGTCCTTAGTAAGGACCAGTGACTCCATCTTAAAGGTTTCCATCCAAACTGTGTATAAACAAAACCTGTCACTCTGTAAAATCTGTGTGGACTTACTATATACATTAAAACTCCACATTGTTCGTATGTTTGATTTTGTTTCTTTCCTCAACAGAAACCAGGAGTGACCTCGTCCCATCTGAGGCAGCCCCCGCCCTACAGACCTCCCCTCCAATCAGAGACGGAGCTGAGCTCTGACTTGGAGCAGGCCGCAGGTCAGTCACACACACACACACACACACACCGGTACAAGCTCTCAGGGTACAACAACCTAACCACTGAACTATTTGAAGAAGGTGTCTGCAGCTGCACCTGATTCTGTCTTCAGGCTGTGTTCACTGTCCTCAGTAGAAAACTAGCTCAGAAACATGAAACACACACCTCTGGGCCTGCCGCTTCAGTTAGAGCCTGTCAGACTTTTCTGTTTGACACAGTCACTGATGAAACTCATAGTGTTTCTGGTGTCAGGGCGGCACTGTCAGTCGCCAGCCCGGTCACGATTGCAGTACTTCAACGGCTGGTCAGATTCTGTCTGATCTGCTGCATCCAAACATTTGACTAGTTGTGTATCAGTGTACCTCAGTATCATTTTGTCATTTTGCATCAGTGTAGTACAGCATGTCTTAATTTACTGTGAAGTGTCACTTACCACAGTATCTTGTTGCATCTCACTGTGTCTCCGTTACTTCTAGAGTGTCTCAGCTGAGGCTTGTCCATCTACCTCGCTGGTCTTAGTCCAGTGTCTCAAGCTGTCTCGGTGGATCTCAGGCCATCGCGCTGCCTGTGTGTGTTCTGCTGCAGCCGTGTGTTAATGATTGTGTTTCTGTCTTTGCAGGGTTTGTTTGAAGCAGCGCTCCCTCCGTCCCATCCCAGACTGGAGGACGTCTGTTTATTGATTTGTTCTTGCTGCTCTGGCTCTCTGCGCTCTGTCTGCGGGTTCAGGTTTTCTTGCTGCCTCTACCTCCTTCTGTCTGTGAGGCTTCTTTGTTATTCTTCCTCGTTGCTGGTTGGAAGGGAGAAGCTTATTGGCTGCTGGTTTTAATGGGATCTGGTGTTTTGGAGCTGGGATCTTATGCAGCTGTGTCGGACTGATGTTAAATGAGCAGTTTGGTCCAAGTTGATCCTGTCCTGTTAAAACTGGAGTTCTAACAAACAATCTGATGTAGTTTTGGAAATCGTGAGCTATTCTGTGTCATGCAGAAATCTTCTGACTTACTTATTTACACTTCTGTTAGCACGCTTTAAGCTTTAAATGAAGTTGAAATAAATGGGTGTAGTCAACATGTTCAGTGTGTAGAGCCTGACTGATGGAGGTAGCCGTTACAGAAGTGCTACATGTCCAAACATGACAACTGGTTTTACCAGGTACAACGTCCTGTTAAACATGAACTAACGTCTCCAGCAGATTCACGCTGGACGAACACTGGAGTACGTGAGCCTCATTCCCTCTGGTCTTTAGCCTGGAACCTGGGACATCTCGGAGTTCAGACTAGGCTTCATGTTTGTTTGGTGTGTAGCCTGGACCTTTGGACAAGTCAGGCTCAGTCCCTCTGCTCTCTAACCCAGACATGGGAACGACCAGGCTGTGCTGCAGTGTAAACTCTGGCCCAGTTAAATCTCACTCCTTTTTGGCCTCTAGCTCCGGCTCTGGGGAAATATATAGATACAGTTCCTCCTTGTCTTTAGCATGTATTCTGGGACGGCTAAGATTTAGCCTTGGTCCCCCACTTGTCTTTAGCCTGAACTTAGAAACAGCTGATCCTCGGTGTCCCAGTGAGTAGTAAAACTCAGCAGTGACTAGACTGGATCCAGAACACACAGGCAGACAAGGCAGGAGACTAAGAAGGGTCATATGATCTTGTCATGTGCACTCACATCGTCCTTGTCCTGTAAAAATGGCTCAGCGCTGGACAGACTGTTTGAACACATTTCATCAAAAGACAGAGTTTAACACATATAATTTGACTGAATCACAGTTGATTAAACTCTTACCAAACGCCAGGAGTGGCATCTGCCAGGAGGCTTGGCCAAACGCACACTTCTCTGGCTTGCTGTGGTGTTGTGTGTCAGCTGTCTGATTGTGTGAGCTGATGTTGATGGAGGCTGCAAACACACATTGACCCCTGTTTCCGGTGAGTCTCTGAGCTTTTTTTCCACCGCAGTCTCATGAGTGTCTGACACAGATACAGCACAGCCACTTGTGTGTGTCCCTGAAGTCACGTGTCTCTGCTGATAACTGAACTCTGGTGGTGGTTCTGATCGGTGCTGCTCATCTCTCCAGCCATCCTGCTGCTGCCTTTCTGTCGGCTTGTTGTCTTGTATTCCTGGGAAAACCTTGATTCACTGATGCAACAACAATAAATGATTCAGTTCGATTGCAGATGCTGTTTCAGGCTGATCTTCTCAGAGGAGCTTCTGCTTTTTGGAGTTTAGTGCACGCAGTAACTTCTGTCATTCCTATCACTTATGTTTCGTGTTTACTGAATTGCTTTTAAATGAAGTCATGCATTGTTGAAATATCTGATGCTACAGATGCCACTTTGCTTGTGTCAGTGTGATGCTGTCCTCTAGAGAATAAACGCAGTGGAGTACTGTTCAGAAACAAGTGTTTGCACTTCACTGACACTGGGCTGCCCACGTCTTCTGAATACTTCTGTAAATGAGATGTTTCAGGTTTTGAAAATCTTGCAAAGACTTCCAAAAATATGTTATTACTTTTGACTGATGGGCAAAAATGGCCATTTTACTCCTTAATAAAATCTGTAACAACTGTGTGAAAAGTGAAGCTGCTGTTTAAGAAGGACGTCGCTGCACTCAGCCAAGAAGCCAGAGGTGGAAAGTAGCTAAGGACACTCGCTCAGGTACTGCAACTAAGTACAGTTCTGAGGTGTTTCTATGTCTTCCTCCTTCATACTGGGACTTCACTACATGTCAGTGTGTATTTTAAAGGATGGATTCTGATTCATGCACTCAGAGGCTGAAAGAAGAATCAGGACTCGAGAGTTTCCCAGTTCAGGTAGTTTACAAGAGTCTTTTCACCGCCACCAGGAACTTTCCCATACCCATAGTGTACCAGGGTCTGCATGTTTTGTTTGTCTTTGAATTGGACTGAGTGAAAAAGTGGGATATCTGGCCCTGCTCAGAAGCTGGTCCCAGAGTGTGCTCCTCCATCCCCCCCAGCCCAGTAGACTGTGTCCGAGAAAACCTGAGCAAAAGGAAGTGTCAGCCGAAGGAGAAGACCGCCCTCTAAAATAAAAAAAACAGAGGAGGAGGAGACCGTAACACATTATCAAGAATTAAGAGGAAGGCAATACAACAGCTGTGCTCATCAAAATTATGGTTGCTCTGTCCCTTCTGGTTGTGCAGACGACGGCACCACGACGTACTCTGCAAAAGCAACACATGCCGTGCAGTGCAGTGAAAACATGAACATGCAGTGGCTCCAGGCAGCCAGCTGAGTCCTGGGGTGGTTCCTGGTGGCAGTGACAGCTCTACTGAGCTCAGGTCAACACTGCAGAGAATTACATCAGCATAACAAGGTACAGTCTTCACAGAGAGTCAGATGGGTGCGTCTGGTAGTGACAGAGGCTGGACGAATCCCTGATCTACTACCTAATACCTTTTATTGGCAAATCTCAGCTCACACTGAGCAGGAACCTGAGCTCTGCTTCATAGTGAGCTGCAAACAAGCTGATCTACAGCAAGACGAGACGTAATGTTCAAAATAACCCTTACAGCCCATCTGTGGTATTTCATACCCTAAGGCCACATGTAAGCCTTTAGGTCATATTTCACTAGGTGCAGACTCAACAAACATGAGACAGACACACCGCTGCTGTCCTCGCAGTGAGGGCAGCACGATACCTCTGATATGTGGCTTGATACCTCGGCTGCACAGTCCTGGGCCTGACTGCGATGGCCTTCTTCAGACAGCAACACACACTCCTGTAACAAAGATGAGTCCTAGTGTTCCTGGTCATGGTTTGTGATTTTGAGGTTGTCGGTTTGAATCCCACCTCCAGCCGTCCAGCTGCTGCAGGACAGTTGCTCGCTAGCAGCAGCAAAGTCAAACTGCAGTCTCCTCATTATCCTGCTCCGACATCCACCCACTCACAATGACTCTGGCGACTCCTCCCTCAGGTGATTCGGCCTTGAGAGGACGACGAGTCCTGTTTCTCTCTCCCTCCGTGGCGTGTTCGTGAGCTGTCCTCAGGCCCTTGCGGAGAAAGATCACACTACATGATGTCAGCCTGATAATGGCCTGGGCCGACAGCTGTGTCCTGTGTAGTGAACCACGACAGACACTGATTCCGACAGAAACATGTCAGGGCTCTGGGGATGTGGTTCTGTCAGTCGGCCCGCTTTGGTCCAGTCTGAAAACTGGATGGATTTTGTGGCCATTTTTCTGAATTTTCCTCTAGTGCCACCAGCAGCTCATTGCTTTCACTTATTGAGTGAAATATTTAAACATGGACCTGATGCATTCTCACAAAACTTTGGATGGAAATTCCTGGTCTCCAGATGATGAATCCAGGAAAGTCAATAGCAGGTCTACAGTCCACTGTGTGTTTAAGTGTGGGACTGATCAGTGGGCTGCTGGTCGCTCACAGCCCCACCAGGCCTCTCAGGTCTGCTGAACAAAGATTCCTGGTCGAAGACCTGTGGTGACCGTGTTCTGTCCTGGGTCCTAGTTTGTGGAACAGTCTCCCTCTGGCTGGAAGTCGCCTTTTGACATCTCTTCTCAAATTTATTCTCAGAAATATTGTATCAGAACTTCTGATCCTCCAACTTTTCACCCGGCGTCGTCATCAGGTTGACATTTTAACTTTATTTCTGACCTAATTTCTATCTGCCTCAGCTGTGCTTTGCATTTCTTGCTGATTAGCAAGTGTTAGCATGCTGATGTTAGCATTCAGCTCAGTGTGGCTGCAGACTCTGTTACGAGGATGATTTTAACTTCATGAACTTTCTTCTAGTGCCATCCTCAGGACAAACTTTGCATTTGTCTCCACTGCTTCCAAGGCTCCACGAACAGATCAATCATGATCAATCACCTCCAGTTTTGCTCCAACTATTGATGTTGAAGCTTAAATTAGTGTCTTTTCTTCTTTTTATATATGAGCCTTCTTTTCTCTTTGGTGTCAGTCCAGTGTGTCTTAACTGCTCTCTGAATATAAATCTATACTCTCAGACACCACAGAGTTGATTAAATGAG